TTTTTTTTTTTTTTTTTTTTTTTTTTTTTTTTTTTTTTTTTTTTTTTTTTTTTTTTTTTTTTTTTTTTTTTTTTTTTTTTTTTTTTTTTTTTTTTAATATTTTTAATTTAATGATATTATTGTAAATTTAAAAATTTAAAAATTTAAAAATATTTATGAGATAAATGGAAATTATTGTATTAATAAAAGAAAAAAGGCCAAAAAAGGGAAGCGAGAAGAAACAGTGGGTGCAGCAACAAAAATATGTGGCTACCACTCTCTCATCTTCCACAAAGCGGAAGAGCTATCTTTGCTGTTGGATTTTAATGGTGCCAAACTAACAGCCATATGATTCTGGCTGCTCGCTCAAGAACCAATGGCTTCCCTCTGCCTCAACCTCAATTCCTTTTATTCATCATCACCCTCACAACCTCGCCGCCTGATCCAATCCTTCTTCGCCTCCTCTTCTTCTCTGAATCGCAACGATTTCATTAAGGTTCACACCTTAAAACCTATCGTCGTCAGTGGAAATCCCCCAACCTTCGTCTCTGCTCCAGGACGCCGAATCGTTGCTGGTTGGTTTCTATTGCCGACCCTTCACACTTTTCAAGCTATGATTCATTTTTCTTCTTCATCTGTTTCTCTTCACCTCGATTGAAGCTTTCAGGAATTTGTATTTCCGTTTTTTTCTTTTTTCTTTTTTGCATTTCAATCGTGTAAATGAGCTTTTTCTGTTGGCTTGCGCAGTTGGAGATTTGCATGGAGACCTTAAGCAAACTAGATTGGCGCTTGAGATGGCTGGTGTATTGGACTCCGACAGTCGGGACTTGTGGACTGGTGGAGAAACGGTGCGTCTTCATTTATCATTTCTATACACACGTTTTATAATATTCATAACATGTACTTTATCAATAATTAATATATCCACAAAGTTTGGAGTTGAACTCAACTATGCCTTCATAATAATATAATAATATCTACTTTGATCCTAGGTCTATATGAACTTATGAAAAGGTTTCAATTCCAATGAAGATAGAAGATATATTTTGGATCTTCCTCATTTCCAGTTGATGTAGAAATTGTTTGCAGTCTACTGAAATAAAAAATAGAAAGTCTTACAGTTTCTAGACATGCTCCCTTTTGATGGTTCTCGAATATTGAGGCTTTTTTTTATAAAAAAAAATTGGTGTAGGTGTTGGTTCAGCTTGGAGATATACTGGACAGAGGAGAAGATGAAATAGCTATATTGTCCTTATTGAGATCATTAGATGCCCAAGCAAGAGCACAAGGTGGCGCAGTCTTTCAGGTTTGTGCTGCAAACACATTATGAGCTTCATGTAAATGTTCAACAAGCTAATTCAAAATTCAAAATAGTTCTTTTTCTCTGACAACGTTGTATGTTGCCTTATTCTTTTTGTTTATCACTGTTGAATGTGGATATCTAGGTGAACGGGAATCACGAGACAATGAATGTGGAAGGGGATTTCAGATATGTTGATTCTGGGGCTTTTAATGAGTGTCTGGACTTCATGGAATACTTGGAAGACTATAGAGATCATTTTGAAGAAGCCTTTCTTAATTGGATCCAAGTCTCAGAGAGGTGGAAAGATCAGAGGAAATCACAAAATTTTTGGGGTCCTATGAATTTGGTGAAGGTGCTACATTGCTCTTCCATCCATCTTATTTTCTTTGTTTATTTCAATTCTCACCTCGCCCTGATGCTGGAACAATAAGAATGATATAGATATTAATACAGCCAATTAATTCAATTTCTAACAACAATCATTTTTCTCCTTAAGAAATGACCTTAAAACCTGGTGATCAATTTGATCAAATTAACTAAACTTTTTCGAAACTTAATGATGATTTGGATCAATGTAAACGAAATTAAGACGATCCTATTCTGAAAACCCTTTGACTTTATTAACGATCTCTGATCTCTGTGTAACCCCATCGTCTCATGCTTGATTACTTTTTAAGGTAGCATGATGATAACAAGTTTGGTTTCATTCAACTTGTGAAACATGGATATTCTTGATAACAATTATGCTCTTATTTTTCTGTCAGAAGCAAAAAGGGGTGGTAGCGAGATCAATCCTCTTCAGACCTGGTGGTCGTTTGGCATGTGAGTTGGCACAACACGCAGTTGTTCTTAAGGTTAATGACTGGGTCTTCTGTCATGGTGGTCTTCTTCCTCACCATGGTAAACTTACTGTCACTCTTTTTGAAATATGATTTTATTTCGACTAAAATGGAAACTATAGCAAACATTATTCCTTGTAGTATAAAAACAATTATTTGTTCTTTACATGGTTTGGAAAATAGTACAACATGCTCTCTCAATTTTCTCTCACCCTCTTGCTAACGTGGCATCTCAACAGTAGTTGTTGCGTAGGTAATTCTTATGGTTAAGTGACACATTAGTAGAAAAAAAAGCTTTTCGAATTACATATTAGGTTGGATGAATTTTTTTGGACCATGGAGGATGTATTAAAAGCGATTGAAACTATAAGACCAATTTACAAGAATCATATATCCTATGTTCAAACTGATTCAGGATATTTTATGTTTTCAAATTTGAAATGTCTGACAGGAATATTGATCCTTCCACAGTTGCATATGGCGTAGAAAGGATGAACCGGGAAGTATCCCAGTGGATGAAAGGCCTTGGTGAAAGTGGCAATACTCCCTTTCCTATCATCGCAACAAAGGGATATGATAGTGTTGTATGGAATCGATTATACTCGAGAGATTTTGCAGATTTGGGAAACTTTGAGATTAAACAGGCAAGCCTTGTAACTTGTACTTGTCGGGTTTTTATTCTGTCAGCTGTCAACAGGCAGGTTTGTTAAGGGAAAGCAACCATTTCCCAGCTAAGCTTTCTAATTAATTTGGTCATACTTGGGAATAAATGAGAGTGCTTGTGCCTTTGACCTTATTTTCTTCAAAGAAGTGAAAGAGATGTACATTAGGGTGGATGTGGGCCATTGGCTGAACCACTTACATAGCTATGGATGATACATTATTGGTTCTTGACAGATAAATTCAATTCTCGAAGACACACTAGAAGCAGTTGGCGCCAAGGCAATGGTGGTAGGCCACACTCCTCAAATGGCTGGAGTAAATTGGTACGACCATGAAACATGAGTGGTCTCTTGCAATTTTTGATTTGAAAATGAGCTTTAGATCTTTCTTAGCTTTATATAAAGGAACCGTACTCTATGTTTTGGTCCTCATTGAAGAGATTAGATTTACCCTTTTCAAAATGTTTTTAGAAGTTTGATTTTTCCTTGCAGCAAATACAATTGTAGCATTTGGCGAGTTGATGTTGGGATGTCAAGTGGAGTTCTTAACTCGAGACCTGAGGTATGTGATATGGCTTACTGGCTATGTTGTAAATAGGTTATTGGTTTACATATTCTTGTAGCGATTGATTCATTTTATCCTGAACTCCTTGCAAAATAAAGATCTCTCTGAGGCCATCCTAAAGATTCTTCTCAGTTCTTTGTGTAGATTACAATTCTAATATCTGTATTTTACTACATTTAGCCTTTTGATTCCTATACTTTTTCTTGTTCCATTTTTTTCTTTGTTCTTCGATTAGTTATCTACTTAAATTGTGAGATTCCATGTCGATTGGGGAGGAGAACAAAACATTCTTTATAAGGGTGTGGAAACCTCTCCCTAGTAGACACGTTTTAAAACCTTGAGTGGAAGCCAGAAAGAGAAATCCCAAAGAGGACAATAGCTGCTAGCGGTGGGCTTAGACTGTTACAAATGATATAAAAGCCAGACACTAGACGATATGTCATCGAGGAGACTGAGCCCTGAAGGGGGTTGACACGAGGCAGTGTGCCAACTAGGTTGTTGGGTCCTAAAGGGGGTATAGATTGGGGGATCCCACATCGATTGGATAAGGGAATGAGTGCCAGCGAAGACGTTGGGTCCCAAAGGGGGTGGTTTGTGAGATCCCACGTTGGTTGGGGAAGAGAACGAAACATTCCTTATACAGGTGTGAAAACCTCTCTCTAGAAGACGCATTTTAAAAACCTTGAAGGGAAGCTTGAAATGAAAAGCCCAAAGAGGACAATATCTACTGGCGGTGGGCTTAGACTTGAACTGTTACATAACAATATAATGTGGTAGTGTGGAAGCTAACATGATTTCTTGATGTGCCATATAATTGCATCAATACCATAGGGACGAAAAGGATATAAGTGACAAAGTATAAGATCATAATAATAACTTTACATTCTTCTTTAGTGTTTATAAATTCCATTTCTTACTGCCCCCCTAATGTTTCGAATACCTTTTACCAGGTACTAGAAATCAGAGGCGACAAAGCTAGAGTTATCAAAAGCAAGAGGGATAGGTTTAGTGAACTTCAAGTTGTTAACTATATATAGCAAGGTATTGATAATTTCCAACTCTTTCTCCCTCCTCATTCCTCTCTGAAACATTATAACAGACATTAGAACGATGTTCTTGGGCAACATTTGAAATGCCAAAAGTATTCAAAATCATATCATTTCTTAACTATGTGAATTTATTTTCTCAATTGTTTTTGACAGATGAATAATGTGCATCATGTTTACTTTATCTGCTTGGTTTAGATACAACTCAGATCATCTGTTCATAGCTTGGATTCTGCTTTTTCCAAGAACTATTTGCTCCATAATCAGCTTTTTCATGGAGACATAATCAGCTCCTCCATTTATGACGTCGAGAAGAGCACGGGAAGCCACAGCGGTTACACCTTCGAATGACTTGGTAAGAAATCGACTTCAATGCCATCCCTCACTTCAGAGTTCAGTGAAAATCTGATTTTGTAAAAAACTGGCGTTTATACATTGAAACCCACTTCTAGGGGAGTTGTTCTTGTTCAATTCCATTGACATGTACAGTACATATTTGTGAAATATCATCAGTTGTTCAAAGAATTCATTGATTTGATTTTCTCTATTTCTACTGCTACTTGTTCATTGTAGTTTGTGTAAGGGTGAAATTGTGAGAGCCTACATGGATAACGTATCCAATTTTTATAAGGATGTTGAAATCTCTCATTTTTTTATTTTTTTTAACTACGAGGCTGACGACAATATATAATGGGCTAAAGCGGACAATACCGACTAGCGATGAACTTGAACGATTACATATAATTTATTGCTTTCTTAAGAGATAACTTTTTAATAAAATTTGGACCAAGTTAAAATTGAAATGTTTTTTTTTCATTAACATTTAAGATTAAAATTACCATATTTATTCAAGTTTAAAGTGTAATTTGATCTGTAATTTGATGGGATCAAAAGTTAAGGTATTAAAGTCTAAAATAAAAAAAATGTTTTCTCCCTTAATTTCAATCAATACAATATTTATTCTTTGATTTGAAACAGTATAAATACTCCTTTAATAAGTACAATTAATTATTCGGTTATAATTTTTCATTGATAAATTTTTTTTTTTCTAATTCAATTAATAATATGAGATTTTCATGATTTACGAGGATATATTTTTTTAAAAAAAACTTAGATTAAAATTTTAAAAAGAAAGTAATATTTATTAGCTTTATTTTAAAAAATTAAAATTAAAAGAAAAATAAAAATGGTTAGTACTAAGAACTAAGAAGGCAGTTGGGCGGTTTTATTGGTTATCCTACCATCTTCCCAAAGTCTCTGCCCTTTGGGAACTCCGCAAAAACCTTGGCATTTCCGGTGACCTATAAAACCTCCATTTCTTGCAACGTGGAACCTGCTCGCCATTCTTATCCTGCCGCAACTTTCTTCTTCACATTCCCAATTTGGTCTCCACCGCCGTCCTCCGCTGATCTCCCTCTCCCATTTCCGCTGCCGTCATGGCCTCTTCTCTCGCTCTCCCTTCCACAATTTCCCTCAAGAAGTTGCCTCTCAATGCATCCACCCCTTTCAGGAGCTCCAGCTCATTTCTTGGTTTCAGAAATGGATCCCGAAGCTCCACTGGTGTAACCATCTCTCGATCTAGGGTTTTCATGAGCGCTTCGGTTGGATCGCAGACTTTGGTCGATGATTCCTTGTTCTTGGATTACAAGCCCACCTGTGCCTTTCTGTTCCCTGGGCAGGTGAGTTCGAACGTTTTTTTTTTTTCATGTTTTTTATTGAGTTTGGTGTTGCTTACTTGATGAGCTAGAATTAGTATCTGAGGAGAAATGGACGTTGTGTAGAGTGATGAGCGAACCTAGTTTTGAATTGAAGCGAGCGTTTTCAATGGTGAAAAGTGGTTGAGGATTTCGTAATTTCTGATGCTCACATCCACATTGAGAAGGCTAATTAAGCATTTGTCTTAATAGTTTCTTGCTTTTTAATGGGAAAAGTGGATTGTGTATGTTTCTTTTCTTCTTTTTGTGGGTCGGGGTGTGCAAAACTTGTAATTCATCTTTCATAAAAGAAACACGTCATGAGCTGCGATAGTAACAGAACACAGTCACTATTATGCATGGAGAGTTCTAAAAAAATGATGTTACTTATTTTGTTTCTTTAATCAGTAATCTTCAATTTTCATGAGAGTTGAAGGCTAAGAAAGACGAGTCTGCAAAAAGCTAGTTCTCCTTCTGTATCTCAAGACATGAAGTTCAATTATTTGAAGGCAATAGCCAACGAGTTCCTCAGTGTCCTGTGTTGTAGGCGCCTAGCAAGAGAAACAAATATTCTACTTTTTATGGTGACTCTGATGAGTCATGTTTTATGAAGGCTTCTTTTGCTGAATTTTGTTCGGGTGCCCTGCATAGGTTGGCACCTTAATCAAGGAGTAGAGGATGCAGCCCATTGTCTCAGATTTACCTCATATTTTAGAAGATCTCATAAAAACCTCGCATAAATCATGGATCTGGATATTGGACTGTACTTGTGATTTTCTTTTCTTTTACAAACAAAATTTTGAATCTTTTTTCTTTTTTCACTCTGAGTCAGGGTGCACAAGCTGTGGGAATGGGAAAGGAATCTCAAAGCGTTCCTGTCGCAGCTGACTTGTTCAAGCGAGCAAATGATATTTTAGGGTACTTCCCCTATTAGTATTCTCCCATCTTGCATTAGTCCTTGCATGGACTTTAGTTCAAGGTCAACCATACATAGAGAGTTGACCCACCTCTCAGGCTTCCAGATAATGGAATGATTGCCTATGCAAAGTAATGTTATTTCATCTTTGTTCGCAGGTTTGATCTTCTCGATGTCTGCACTAATGGGCCAAAGGAGAAACTAGATTCAACTGTTATAAGTCAGGTGCTTCATCTTGAACTATTCAGACTTCTCTTAGATGGCTTTTTATTTACTTATAGTTAGGGGATGGCTATGCAAGCCACTGTTCAATTGATTTCTGATGTGAAAAGACTTGTTTTCGAGAAGTTTATCCTTCTTATGTGGCCGGAATGCTTGATTTTCTGGTGAAACTTGTTAGACCCGTTGACCTTATGAGGTAGTAGTGGTGCTTAATTATTCGGACCATTCTCACAGAACATAGATGTGCAGTGGTGCTCTTTGTGATCTATGTTGTTGACAACTAAAAGTAGCTGTTCCTATTTTGATCTGTATTTGTGTCTACGCTTACGCCTGTGTATGTATGTTGCATTTTGCATATGCATTTGTGTGAATGTTAGGTTGTCATTTTATCCCTGTTCAAGGTTTTGAACCTGCTGAATTGATTGCACAATTGCAGCCAGCTATCTACGTCACTAGTCTAGCTGCAGTTGAGCTACTTCGTGCACGTGATGGAGGCCAACAAATAATTGATTCTGTTGATGTCACTTGTGGTCTAAGCCTGGGAGAGTATACCGCATTAGCATTTGCAGGGGCTTTCAGGTATCTAATCTGGCTGACTGTAGTCCCAAAGTGTACCTGCTTGCATACTTAGATGATTGGTCGAGTAAATAGCATCAAATAAGTTTAAGATTCTAAAGCCATCTATCTTTGATCTCTGCATGCTGTGATTATGTTTTATGTTTTCATATTGACATGGTTGCTAATGGTTTTGTTTACATTTTTAGCTTTGAGGATGGACTCAGGCTCGTCAAACTAAGGGGGGAGGCAATGCAGGTAAACATAAATAGTTGGGTAATGAATGTTTCTATTTCAGCTTCCGGTATGTTGTTGCAGTGACTAAACCAGCTTTTCCCCGTAACTTTCTTCAGGCAGCTGCTGATGGTGCAAAAAGTGCTATGGTCAGTATCATAGGGTTAGATTCAGAGAAGGTTCAACAGCTGTGTGATGCAGCTAATCAAGAAGTTGATGAAGCCGATAAAGTTCAGATAGCAAATTTTCTATGTCCAGTAAGGTTCTTTTAAATTCAAATTCAGCTCGGTCTGCTTAAATGTCATTAGCATAGTTATACTGCCGTTCTCATGTAATGCATTCGAACCGTTGCAGGGCAATTATGCTGTATCAGGAGGTCTTAAAGGAGTAGAAGTAGTAGAATCCAAAGCAAAGTCATTCAAAGCTCGAATGACGGTATCTATCCTATATGTTGTCTATAATGGAACTTGCATTTTGAAGGTCCCGTTAGACCTAAAATGGCAATGGCTGCACCATTCAATTGTAGGTACGCCTAGCTGTGGCCGGTGCATTCCACACTAGCTTCATGGAACCTGCTGTTTCAAGATTAGAAGCTGCACTTGCAGCAACGGAAATCAGAACTCCCAGAATACCAGTCATCTCCAATGTCGATGCGCAGCCACATGCAGATCCCGACACAATTAAGAAAATTTTGGCACGCCAGGTACTTAACTCATAACTTTCAGGATGAAGACTACACATGGCATCTTCCCTTCAATTTGTTTAGGGGTCAGAATCAGCTTGGTTTGTTCCGTATGGCAATCAATGCTGACATTGTTCATTATTCCCGTTTCAAAACTACAGGTGACTTCTCCTGTTCTGTGGGAAACAACAGTAAAAACTCTACTCAACAAGGGGCTGAAGAAGAGTTATGAATTGGGCCCTGGAAAGGTATGAAACTCTACACCAATTTGAGGTCACCCTTTTTGTATTAGGGAAAATATATCTTGGGTTATTCTCACAAATATTTTCTACTTTGGGTTGGGTAAACAGGTTATAGCTGGGATTTTCAAAAGAGTTGACAAAAGTGCAGATATTGAGAATGTTGCAGCTTAATTTAGTCTAGATTGAAGCAAACAACTCACTCATGGCTTGTATCTGCTTTGCCCATCTCCCCATCAGTGCCAACAGCATTAAACAGAGATTAGTTCTATGCTCCTTCTTATGTGTCCAGATGTTACAATGAGTTCTAGAGCTTCAAGTTTCTAAAGCAAGTGCACGAGAATCTTTATGTATGTTACTACGACAGTTCATCGTATGCAAAATGAGTTAAAAGTTGAATTAAACCAGTAGTTGGTTATGTTTTCTGCTTTGATTTATTTAAGCAGTTTGTTATCTCATCTGACTTGTTTTTTTTTTTTTTTATTGAAATTATTACTCCTTAGAAACCTTCAATAATCTTCGGCCTAAATCGGAATCGGAAGCTTTCCTAGTAGATATTGTCTTCTTTGGGCTTTCCCTCCTTGCTATATTGCCCCGTGTCTAACTCTAATACTATTTGTAACAGTTTAAGTTCACCACTAACCGATATTGTCTTCTTTGAGTGAGTTTTTCCTTTCAGAGTTCCCTCTAAGTTTTTAAAACGTGGGTTAAGAAAAGGTTTCCAGGTTTTTATAATGCATATTAAGAAAAAGGTTTCCATGTACTTAAGGCAGTTAAGCCGTAATTTAGGCAACATTTTGCCTCTCCTTGTGATAATGGAAACTTCCATCAGTCCCTTCAATTTCATCAAATATTACAGATGACTTCTGCCCCATAGGATACAAGTAACAAAGAAAACACAAAGGGGAAGGAAGGCAGAGAGTTTGAATTCAAGAACCGAGAAACATTCGATCTAACATATCACCAATTCAATTCTCTATTTTGAGCTTTGAGCCATTAGACAAAAGTGCAGACATCATATTCTGGCTTGAAGAAGCTTAAGCTTAAGCTTGAAGCAAGCAGCTCCCTTGAAAGTCACGACTTCGGTTTTCTTTCAAGCATAAGTTGAATGACACTTAATTATGAGATCGAAGAGAGCACATGTGATTGGGAAATGGATGAACTGTTCGCAAACCAAAACCCAGAAGGATCTTTATTCAAGAGGATAATCGGAGAGTCATATGACAATTCTATGATTGGAAGAAGAAGAAGAAGAAGAAGAAGAAGAAGAAGAAGAAGAAGAAGAAGAAGAAGAAGAATTAAGACTGGGATCTGAATTTTGAAATGATGAGAGTTCCATCTCTCAATTTCCGAAATTATTGGGAGAGGTAGGGGTTTGCCTAAGCCTTCGAAGTTGATCAATCCAACGATCCTCAGATACAATCCGAGTCCAATCTGGAGCAGAGCCGCCAAATGAGATGCCGCGCATGGCCTCCATGATCCTCGTCGCATTCTCCGGCGACAGCGGCGCATTTCTCCGAGTCTCATCCTCTCTAAACGCCATTCTAATCGCTGAATCAGAAGCCTCTCTCATGCTCTCCTCCTCTTCCTCATCACTGCATCTTCTCTCCACATCGTCGTTCAGGCTAAGAGACGAAACTGCATTCTCTACACGGCAACCGTTGGGTAAATGGTGCAAATGAGTATCGGAGCTGTAAGTTTCGTCATCTGATCCAGCTTCATCGGATTCTTCACCATCAATGGCCGAGATCGGCTCGTAGTAATCCGATCCTTCAGCGGAATTCGTATCCGAATCACTTCCGTCGGCTATGTCTGCGAGGAACATCGTGACCAAAGAACTCAAGAAAATTGAATCACTTGAAAGAACAGAAAACAGAAAAACCATCTTTGTATGTACCTTCAGAGAAAACCATTCCTGAATTCAACGATGCGTTCATTCTCGAATCGGAACGAGCAGCGACGATGGCTAATTAGGGCATTCGGCGCAGGTGCATCCGATCGTAAGGGTCTAAAGTCAGCCATATAAAAACATAATCTTCTAAAATTATAAATTTTAACGAAAATGGAAAACAATTTTATAAAAAAAAAACATGCATCAGCCGGAGATCGAACCCAGGTCTAGGCAGGATACTATTCTAGTACTAACCACGATTCAATTTTATTGAAATAGAAAGTCAGTAGTATTTTAGTCACAGGTAAAAGACGAGAAAGGTGGAAGCGGGAAATGGCGGCACTCACCCACCATGGACGATGCCTCAGTTCTTCAGTCTCAACCACTTATTCATTTCCCTTCCTTTTCTCTTCCAAGACTCTCTCAATTTTCGAAGAGAAGGAATTTCCTCTTCTGTGCTCCACCTGAACTCGCCCATGTTCGGTATGTTGTTTAGTTTTGTTTTGTTTCCGTATTGAGAATTTCCTCCACTATTTTCTGTATCATTATCTCTTCAAGCATTCTCGCTTTCCAATTGAAACTTGAATCCTTTTCTCCCGGAACTGTTGGCTTGTTGAGCAAATTTAGAATTACGTGGATGGTGCTCCGCCGGATAAGTTACGAATTTCGCCACCAGTCGATCTGTTACTATGACGCACTTTTTCAGTCAGTAATTCTATCTTCAAATCCGGCTTCAACTGTTCGGTTCTGAATCTTCATTTCTTTACATAAACATAAACTTGATTTCCTTAGGTCAAATTTTTTAGTCAGAAGGTTTGAATTGATAGCTGAAATGGAGAAAACAAGCTGTTCTATTTTGTGATCGTTGTACGTATGACCAATGATCTTCCCCACCCGAAGGAATTGGTATTTCCTAATTTACACGACGAAATCATAAACTAGGGAGTGCCATGAGATTTTGGTGTTACGTGGTTTTCTTTTAGACCTCGAAATTTGGTAGCTACTTCACCACTTCCTTAAACCGTCTATAATCTTTAATTGCACAGTGATCACAGAAATCGACACATATATCATGTTTCGGTATTGCAAACAGGTTAGCATTGTGGAGGTAACGGGGGAGACATTTTAGTGATGGCCTCGGATGCACTTTTTGATAATGTTTTGAACCATGAGATTGTTGCAATATTGTTGAGGCTGGTATCTGATATCTGCTTCAGATCTGTTGGAAGGTTAGTCTCAATTATTCAATCAGCCTGACCGTGATTATTTCGTTTCTTGATGCTAGCCAAGCAACTGCCTAACCTTCCTAAGTAGTCATTCAGCGGATAAAAGCCTTTGAATCACCGTATTCATTGGAGGCTAGATCTGAGTTACCATCCTTTGCAAGCATTATTACTTCCGACCTGAAATTTGTTGAGGATTATTGAGATTAGTAGTCCCACATGGCTAATTAAGAGAAAGATGGTGGATTTTGGTACCAAAAGCAAAATCAGTTTTGCTCAAAATGGACAATATTATACTATTGTCATGTTTTTAACTTGGCCATGCCAATGAAATCTTTAAGGGTCGAACAAAGAAGTTGTGAGCCTCAAAAGTGTAGTCAAAAGTGACTCAGATATCGAACAAATGGTGTATTTTGTTCAAGGACTTCAAAGAAGGAATTGAGTCTCATTAAGAGCGGCGGTTCGAGAGCTCTAGAGAAGGAGGCTTCAAGGGAGGCTCTGTGGTGTACTTTGTTTGAGAGAAGAATTGTTGAGGATTATTGAGAGTAGTAGTCTCACATTAGTTAATTAAGAGGAAGATCTGAGTTTATAAATAAAGAAGACCTCTATTATTGGACAATATCATACTGCAGCAATTTAAACTTTTCTCTATTAGCTTCCTTACCGGGATGTCTTCTTCCACTAAATCCACACAGGGTTATGATGTTCCTTTCTATAAAGAAAAATACTGGGAATGAAGCTTTGACTCACATAATGTTGGCTAACTTCCCATTAATTTAAGTTGGGTGATGTTCCACGTTGGTTGGGAGGAGAACAAACCACCATTTATAAGAGTGTGGAAACCTCTGACGCGTGTTTTAAAGCCTTGAGGGGAAGCCCGAAAGAGAAAACCCAAAAAGTACAATATCTGCTAGCGATGGATCTGGATCATTACACATTGGTAGTTAACTTAACATTTTTTTAACTCTCTGAACAGGGGGAAGATATGATGATATCACTTCGGTCGCCCGATTAGGTTGTGTGCAGACGAGCTCATCATTTTCTCAAACAAGGTCACAATGAAAATGAAACACGGTATAATATCTGGCTCCATAACTCATTCTTGCATATTGTTAAGGATTGTTGGGAGAAGAGTTCGAGGTCGGCTAATTAAGAGGAACTTTGGATCGAGAATGCTCCTTATAAATTCATCCAGGTTTTGGCGAGATGATCCACCCTCCCCTGTTGCTCGGTGACAGATCTCTTTTAGCCTCTTGGCTCTATCCCTCATTTGCTTTCCCTCAGGGCTGCTGAGATCCATGAACCTTTGGACAATCTCTGATGTTCCAGCTCCAACCTTGGTTTCCAGTCTTCGACAATGTGGGTACTGTTGGGATTTTGATCCAAAAACGGAGGAAAAGTAAGCATAGGAATCCCTGCAAAAACAGCTTCCAGAGTTGAATTCCAGCCACAATGGCTCCAGAGCCCACCTATTGAGGAATGACACAAGACCTTCAATTGTTCACACCATGCCACAACTAACCCCTTTTCGCCGCATCGCTCCTTCAACCGAGGAGCTTCCCCTCGAGCCACCCATAAGAACCGAATGCCACTATTTCGTAGCCCAGAAGAAAGTCCTGAAATTTGATCCACTATTTCTCTTCAAACACTTTCCGAAGATCGGCTTTGTGGGTTGAACAAAGTCCTGAAATTTGATCCACTTCATCACCATGATCTGCATTTACATAGAAGATTTATCAACTGACGTGTTCCCATAATTCTATTCCTGAACAGATTTCTGATCTGCCACGAATAACAACGCAATAGATCAAATTAGGTTGGTTTAAGGTTTGATTCATTTTGTCCAAGAGGAGAAAAAAAAATCTTCAGATCCTTTAAGCTGTCAAAGACAATTCATAATAATAGGTTTCTTTTTCCTTAGAATATGAATTGATACAAAATCAATGGCATGATGTTGGTATACAGTTCACATGAATATTGTACCAAACCAACTAGAAGACAGTCGCCGGACTCGAGCGGAAATATCGGCTCTGTAAAGCATCGAGAAGAAGGTCGCCGACATCGTCCAGAGCGACGCCACCAGGATATTCCTCTGACGACCGACAGCGATCGGCCAACGGAGCTCCAAGTCGCCGGCGGCTGGAGCCGATCGAGGAGTTGCTCGAATGGAGCATCCATCTTAGTCACGACAGCTTCGCTGAAGCTTCTGAAGTCAGCGGCTTTCATCCTCTCCGGCGGAATGACGTTAGGAATGGTGGCAAACCGGTGACGACAAAGGTGATGAGAATATCAGATTTTGTTAAGGCGAGCAATTTGCAGAGGTTCATCGTAGGGTTGATGTGGCCGCGGCCGGGGTAAGGCATCACCACCTCGTGGATTCCGGCCATCGGAAATGATTTGTGAGCTGAAGATAAATGAGAGAGACAGTCAACCCTCGCAAAACTTAGTGGAATGAGCTATGGGGCATTAACCAAAGAGGTTTTGCTACGTTTGTCGTTTATGAGTGTCCATCATTTGTTGACCGCATAGTCGACGTGTCATTTCGATCTCGCCGTGATAGAAACCTAAAACTATGACGGCCGCCACTGAGCCCACCAACTGCGGCGAGTATGGTTTGGAATACCAATACTTGCAAGTAATTTGGGTACAAGATCATTTTTTTTAGTTTATGAAATTATTTTTTATTTCTTAAGGTTTGTATTTAGTTCTTGAATTGAATTAATCACTGAGATAGTTATTTGACCAGACAGGAAAGAAGATGGCTTCCACATCTTGCAAAATTCAGGTAAATTTCAACCATATTATAACTTTTACAACTATACATACAAAATAAAATAGTTGAAAAATAATGTATTAGCAAATTAACCTTTTTAAGCTTAGATCATAATTATCATAATGCTAAAATTTATATTAATGTATGACTGTCTCATAATAATTATTGAATATAGATTTTCTGATGGAAAGTAAATAAAATGTTACTTGATTATGTAAAGAATAACCTCACACCCGGGTAACAACTCCCATATGAAAGTGGTAAACATCTTAGAAAATTAGATTTTGGAAGACTTAAAAATCATAAATAAAAAGAGGAAGAGGTCTAAGAGAGGGACTTCTTTGGTCACCATCTTCTTTCTCCAACCCAAATTCTTGCTCCTCTCTTTTTGTTTCTTTATTACAGTTCAATATAGGCCTCAAATAGATTCAGATTCTTCACAGAATCCTTAGTCTTTGTTTTGGTCTAAACTCATTAATTTTTTATAACCGAGCATAGAGTTATGATCATTAGAAGTGGTCAATTACCCTTATAAATTGACTTGTGCAAAATTTTAGAGGCCGTTCAACTCTTGATTTCTTCTACAAAGTCGTTTCCTATATACCATAAAACTACACGAATTAAGAAACGACTATTCATCCAGAAATTGGGGTTGAAAGTAAGGAGTTTGAGAGCATGAAGCAACCAAGAAGCCTTTTTCTTAAGGAGAAGCATTAGATTGAAGAGTGGCTTGATGAAGTAAGGGCTAATATAGATCGCAATACACAAGTTAGTTGTTATAGAATGTTGGAACGAACTATTATAGAATAATTAATTAAAATATAATTTAAATGGAGATTTTCTTTTATTACGTATAATTATATATATATATATATATATATATATATTGTATTTTAGTCTATATTTTTAAGTATTTCATTTAATTCTTTAACGTCCCATTCCTAACTTTATGCAAAAGACTATTTAGTCTTTACTCATTAATATTTCATGAAATGTGAACAAAAATGATTATAGCTCTTCAGTTTTGGGTATTTTTGTAGGACCAAAAAAGTTAGAAAAATCCAAAATGAAAAGAAAGGTAGCAACGAAAAAGACTACAAAATATCTTAGGCTTCCTTTTCAATCACATGCAAAAAGTTGATTGCTTTTATTTACTTTTATGTTTTTAAATAATTCAATTAGATCCCTCAACTTTTGAAATTACAAATTCATATTCATAGCTTTTCAACTTGGCTCTCAAATTTGGTAGCATGAGCAAAACACAGTCACAAAGAACACATTTAAGCTAATGTGGTCTTAGTTTTACAATTCCAAAGGTTTCGAACTCGGGACTTCCTCCGAATCAAACCCGAAACGACACATCCCCATCAAAGTTCTGTCTAAGTCTGCAGTCCTATTGCTATAATATATGTGCTTGCAGAGGGAGTGATATCAGTAAATGGTCAATCCAGAGCGTGTCTTTAATGGCAAGTTGGGGTCTGGAGGGTCCACGACATTGAAAGCCATAGGAAAGCTGTTGTGAGTATCAAAGAAATGAATCAAATTTTGAGATATTTTCATGCACAGAATGAATGAAGAAAGAAAGCATATTCACAGAGAAAAAGGGGAAGAAAAAAAAGGATACTTTTTTCTTTTGGGTGAGATATTTTGAACTTTGTGGCTAAACAGTCTTCACAAAACGCCCCTGTGAGCCAAAACAAAAAAACAAAATGAAAGCTGAAAACACTCAATTTTATTAAGGTTTTGTTGGGGTTTGGAATGAAGCATTTAGTGAAATGGGTCACCTTTATTCTGGGCCTTTTCTGGGCATTCAGCTTACGAACTTGGTATCTTATCTTGTTGGAGAACAATCTGGTGAGCCGCTTCTCCCTGTACCTCAGCACCCTTCTTGTTCTTTCTTCCTCCATTCTTGGAACCTCTCCCATCTGTTTTACAACCATATTTTATATATATACACATATACATATAGTCAAGGATGATGGGCATATAAATATAGAGAATGAAATACCATAATTCATAATTACAACTTACATAAACGTTGTGGGTTGGGTTGGAAGGAGAAGAACCGCCGGCGGCCCAGAGAGATCCACGGCCGGACCATGCTTCCGAAACCTCTTCGTAGTTAAGATTTAAGTTCAACGAAGCCTTCTTCTTGCTTTTCATAACGCCATCACCGTCAAAGGAGCAAGCTTTTGGGACGACTCGGCTGAATACCTCCGCCTCCGCCTCGACGCCATCGCCATGGCCGCCGTGGTTTGTTTTGGTTTCAGAGAGGGAAAACTGGTGGTTGGAATGATGATCCATCAAGTCCCAATTGAGTGAACCGCCATTGACGATGGAAAAATTCTCCTGCTGCTGCAGCGGTAGCTTTTCCTCATTGCTGAGCTCAAAAAAGGCTTTGAAATCGTCCCGAATGGAATTTGGAACTTCTTGTTCTTCTTCTTCTTCTTTCTTGAGGCCCTTCAGCAGCGAACTGTAACCCATCTCTCTCTCTCTCTCCCCCCCCCCCCCCCCCCCCCCCCCCCCCCCCCCCCCCCCCCCCCCCCCCCCCCCCCCCCCCCCCCCCCCCCCCCCCCCCCCCCCCCCCCCCCCCCCCCCCCCCCCCCCCCCCCCCCCCCCCCCCCCCCCCCCCCCCCCCCCCCCC